TATGGGTTTTATGTCAAGTTACTCATGGTTTCTAATATTAATAACATCCCATATGAATTTATGTAAATTTTATCATTAAATATGCATAATTTATGCTAATTTGATGACGTCATTGGCCAAAATCCAAGATGGCGGACCATATCATTAGAACAGGTATATACAAGTTATTTTCCTTAAAATTTCATCAATACTTCCATTTCTTTTTCCAAAACAGGTTTAAATGAAGGTCTTTGGTATGTTTACAATGTATCTTAGGCTTTATCACGAAAAAAAACTATTTTTGAAAATTCAACATTGATGATCCAAAATGGCGGATATCTTAAATATGTATGACGTCATTTTATGACGTCACCGGTGTTGCTATGGGCAACATAAGACAGTACACTCTAATATTCTGTCATAAACACTTTTGGTAAAGTTATGTTGAATACCATTTAGTTTTCAGGGAATAGCCTATCTAAACGGTTTTGGCCAATAAAATCCCATTAATGACGTCATAATGACGTCATATTACGTCATAATGACATCAAAATTGTAGATATGATAAATTTTAACTAGTACACCATCCTCTGAAAATTTGGTAGCCATACGACATACCGTTAGCGAGTTATGAGGGGGGGGCCGAAAGAGCCCCCCCCCGGTCAAATCTTGCTCAAAAAAGCCCGGTCTAGATAGGGTTAAAGTGTGAATGTCCTGTGGACATATGTCCTATATATTCCATTTCAAATTTGGTTTTGATACCAGGGCATAGGAGTAAAAAAAAAAACATTTGCCAAATTTCTGACCATTTGGCCAACAGAATTAAATCAATGACCGAAAAAATCATACAAAGGTGTAAAAATGTATTCTCTGTATACCCGGTACATTGCGGACAAAAAGATTCTAATAATGGCATTTGCAAAGACCATTGAAAGTTGATGAAATGTCAAAAAGGAAAAGGTGCTAGTGGTAGCTTACCTGGCCTTCCGTTGGAAGCGTTTCTTACAGCGGTTTTTGAAGCATGAGCTCCAGACCCAACATGTACCAGGGAAAACCCAGGCGTACTCCTTGTTGCACCTGAAAATAACAGTAAATCAACGTCAGTTCTGACAAACCAAGCTGACGGCACATTCTGAAATGTTAGCCTCCACCAGACTTCTTTTTCAGGCTGAATAAATCGTAGAAATCGGCCTAAAAAGGGTATTAATTGGCGAGAGAAGGTAACCGGCCAGAGAAGCTCCATTTGCCTTGTGCAAAAGAAGTCTGGTGGAGACTACTGAAATGTCACTAAACTAGAGAATATCTGCTATGGACTGTCACATTTTCACTGTTCCTGTAAATTTGTAACAACGTTATTATTTGCAGAATAGTCATAAACAAAAACATATACACAAGAAAACAGTTACTCAAGCAATTTGATTTCAATGCGACTTCACTTGGTCATGGATTAAGGGGTGATATTTCTTTATTCATATGCAATACCAAATTTTACGTGGCAGGAACTTCAAGAGCAGTAATGGTCGAATAATGTGTCTATTCTAGGGCGAGCTTCACCGCCTCTGGCGGGACCACGTCGGCATTCGGCCGAGATACGCTGGGAGGGGGGTACCAGCAAGCAGGTCGTTGACCTCTGACATTAATAACACGCTACCTTGCGTGCTCTCAACAAACAACAATGAATGCATTTTCGGAGAATCGTGATCGGGCACGGTTTGAAAGGAATGTATGGCACGTGGACCAGATGTGAGGAATGCGAGTTACCCGAATCGCGGTTCGGGTGGTTTCATATGAACAAGGTATAAATCTACATTGTAGGTCTTCCTTTTTACTCACGTTTCCTGCACCTGACTTTGCCCAGCGCAGCCTCCACATTTGAAGTGATGGAGGTCCCACTTGCCGTTCCCCTCGTCGGCGCCGCAGTGTCCGCAGTACCGCCCGGCACTCGCGCCCTGGTACGTGGTCTGGAAACATATGGGATTGTTACCCTTTTGCACCAATACTGTTGACTAATCATTGGATAAATGTCGGAAATCCGGATCGATCCTGCTATAAAATTGCAACATAATGTAACCCAATACTAGTTACCATGGTGACAGACGTCTGGTTCAGGTAATTGCCTTTACTTGTTTGAAGAAGAGCAAAAACAATATCGACTTAATTTTATGGATGACATCCACGCGCGCATTAGTTTTCGCCTGTTCTAAAAAAAAAAAGAAAAAAAAAAGATCACGTCCTTTGAGGCTCTAGCCTGGCTATAGGTCTGCGTAGTCCATGGTAGTTAGCGACAATACGGAGCCGGGCACCCAGGCTACCGAAACGCCGACTCAAGAACTCAGCAAGAAGCCAGCATATACCGGATTGTCGTTTACATCGCTATGTATTGCCGCAAATTCACATTGTATTCCTGTGGTTTAGTCGCATTTTTGGCTGGGATTTTTTTTATTCGCCCGCGCGAACTAGTTTGGGGGCCTTCATAGGATGTCATCCATAGAATTAAGTCGGGATGGCCTAAACATATAACCGCATCACCTGGACTCGAATAATTATAAGTTAAACTAATCATATACCGATCAAACAAATCCGCAAATCACTCGCACGCATACGAAGACGTTCCCTCAGAAGGATATCTCCTTCTCCGGGGGCATTAAATAAACTCAACAACCACTTATCGTAGGGCAACCAAATTTTCAGAGAAAGATGTAATAAAATTAGTTCATAACAACAATTTTTGTTTAATAATGACGTCATATGACGCCATTATGACGTCATTTATATGCTTTTTTGGGGTAAAACCGTCAAAAATTGTTTTTCTGTAAAACTTAAAGGAATATAACCAAACTTTGACAATACAATATTAATGTCTGCTAAGACTTATGTTGCCCCTGGCAACAACACTGAGGCCAAAAAAGTCGTCATAAAATGATGTCATGCATAATTAAGCTGTCGGCCATCTTGGATCGGGAATCTTGAAGTTTGAAAGTTGCATTTTTTTCAAAAAACAGCCTAAAAACGCAACGCAAATGGACTAAAGATGCTCATATGAACGTTTTATGTGAAAAAACACTGAGTTGATACGAAAAATTAGTGAAAAAACCATGGCTACACAAGAGCTAAATATATGGTCCGCCATGTAGGATTTTGACCGATGGCGTGATCAAATTAGCATATTTATGAATATTTAATGAGGAAAATTATATATAATTATATAAAATGTTATTTATGTTAAAAAGGAAGTGTAATTTAACATAGAGCCTAGAAAATTTTAAGGTTTGAACCAAAATTACTGATTTTTCCAAAAACTGCCTGTCAGAAGCCCGTTAACATGGTAACACAAAAAATTAGGAATTCATGTAATTAATATGAAATTGTTGCCAGATGCCTTTTTAGGAAAAGTCACCAAATTTGACGCTTCTAGCGAAAGCCGTTTTGGCGCTATCTGAGATGAAAGTGGGCACGGGCCTCAAAATGCCCCCCCCCCCGTCGTAATAGGGTTAAAGGTGTTGACAATAATATGACCGTACCATTCACAATGCCCGTGGTGTGGCCAAAAAAAACACCCATAACAAAGGCGCATAGCGAAACGCAGCCGGACCTATAAACATAAACGCAAAGAAGATCACAGAAGGGCGTTCTTCACCCAATATCTTATTGAAATCGTGACTTTCAGACATTAAAAAAAGTCGAACATTATTATCCAGAAGCGTGCATATCTAGTTCTTAGTAGTGCTTGAATGGGTTAGGATTAGTCTCCACCAGACTTCTTTTGCGGGGTGAATAAATCGTAGAAATCGGCCTAAAAAGGGTATTAATTGTCCAGAGAAGGTAGCCGGCCAGAGAAGCTCCAGCTCCCCGCCAAGA